TCCATCCATTCTTCGGTTGAGGGGCATCTAGGCTGCAGAAGGAATTATCTTGGGCCGTCAATAGCCCCCTTAACAATCTGCTATAACATTCCCCTGTTCATGACCTAATAACTTTCTGACCCAGTCCTTCGGAATGTACAAGCAGAACCCTAGTTCCCACCAACCAACAGGCCAAGAATACAGCCAGCTGACATCTGAGGCCAATGACTGAAATTCCCTGCTTCCTTGTAACATACCTGCCCAATAGACTCAACGGTACATTTGATAAGTATCTGACTTGTGAATGTCTTTGTTCTGTTACTATAAGAACTAAATTCTCCTGTCCTGAGTCCTTGTCTTCCAGAGGAGCATCTGGAAGGCCTGTGGTGCTGAAGATGCTGGCCTGTGCTGGAAAGCCGGATGTTGGCCTTCTATACAGTGATCTTGTGCCAGAAAGACTCCATGAACATCAGTCTAACTCTACCCATTCAAGAAGTAAAGCAGAGGCAACTCAATTCAGAGTTCTTTCTAATTTTTTTTTAATTTTTAAAGCATCTTTGAGAAAGTATTACTATGTGTTATATTAAGAAGTAAAGGAAAATTTTTCTGCACCAGATATGAACCAGGAAAACCTTCATTTGGCAAAGTCTTCATTGAGAAAGATGTATGAAAGAAAGAGAAGGTAGAGGTTGTGAAATAAAATAAACCTAAAAGATTTATTAATCATTGCAATTGATGTTTCTCGAGGGACATGACAGAAGTATAAGCACAGGCAGAGCATTTAATTTGATTAAATAATTATCATTAATTCTAATGATGTGAATTACAATTAATGTTTATTTTTTGGTAAGTCCCTATTTCCAGAAATAAAAGCTAAGAATTTATAGTTAGAAAGATGCATTATTTGCTTGAAAAATATATAGAACTGGTGAGAGTAGGTCATCAATTCTATTCTTTTTCTGAAATGTTTTGCACATCTCACAAGTGAAAGATCCTGAAGATGTGGTTATGGAGTAAAAACAACTTCAAATACATTTTAAGCACAAAAAATAGCTCAGAAGGACAGCACTTGCTTGATGTAGAAGGCCCTGGATGAGATAGATCGGGGATGGGGCTACCTTCAAAGTCATTTTTATAGAGTCAATTTCATTATTTTCTGGAATTTTTACCTTTTTGCCCTTTTATTGAAAACAGTTGTTTTTTTTTTTTTTTCCTCACCTAATATAGCCTGATTATGGTTTCCTCTCCCTACCTCTTCTACTCTCCTAGTTCCTCCCGCCTCCTGTCCCATCTGGATCCATTTCATTTCTCTCATTGGAAAATAAGCAAGCTTCTATGGGATAATAATAAAATGAGATCTATTAAGATAAAACAAAAACTAGCACATTTTAATGGCAACCTTTTGTTCATTGTGTTTTACCACAGTCTCTTTGCAAATTACAAAGCTATTAAAACTAGTATAGAAACTTCAATGGGATTTCAGTAGAAATCTTGAAAAGAAAGGAAAGAAAGCATGCATTCTCTGTTCTATTCCATGGAGAGGTCATACAAAGCACAGCCTGGGATGCAATAGTGGCACTCATGGGCACTGAAATCTAAGAAAGAAAAGGAATAGCCGGGGCTTTGGTTATGGGAGCAACACATACCCCCAGTGGAATTTAGCTTTATACAAAACCCCTATCCTCAAAGATTTCCCTGCTGCAATTCCTGGAAACTGCAGTCATTGCCTATACAAGCCTTCCCTTACTCCTTCCAACAGATAACCAACCCTTCAATCCGCAGAATGAGTCTCCTTTCAGTACTGTGTGGATAGAGTAAAAAGAAAAGATTTCTAGTTTGCCAAGCTGCCTTGGAAGAATACCACAATGACTGTCATTTATTTGAAATATATGAGCTTAAGATTTTTAATGTGTGAAAGAATTTAAGCAATACTGGAGAGGCTAACTTAAATGCCCTTCCCCTATAATGAGAAATACCTTAAATGTCATCATAGAGCCTTCACCCAGTAGCTGATGGAAGCAGAAGCAGAGATCCACAGCTACACACTGAGCCAAATTCCTGGAATCCAGGTGTAGAGAGGGCGGAGTGATGACCCCTTTGGTCCAGACCAGGCTGGGGAAAACCCACAGAAACAGCTGTCCTGAGCAAGTGGGAGCTCAAGGACCCTAGTTTGACAGCTAGGGAACCAGGATAAGACCGAACCAGGCCCCCTGAATGCGGGTGTCAGTTGGGTGGCCTGGTTAGTCTATGTGGCCTCAGACAGTGGAACCAGTATTTATCCCTAGTGCACGAATGGGCTTTGGGAGCCCATTCCCTATGGAGAAATACTCTCCTCGAAGCCTAGATATACTGGGGAGGGGTGTGTCAGACTTTGATGATCCACCAAGGAAAGCCTCACCCTCCCTGGGGAGTGGATGGGGGTGGGATGGGGGGTTGGTGGAGGACATGGGAGGACAGGAGAGAGGGGGAACTGGGATTGGTATGTAAAATAAGATTGGTTTTAATTTAAATAAATTTTAAAAAAAAAGTGGCTTGAGAGAGAAAGTCCATTCAAGCAGAGGGGCTTTTAATTAAGGGAAAAGGATTGTAAAAAGGGAAAGAGGACTGGAAAACTGGTCTCCAGAGACAGAGGCGGGGAGATGGGCAGGGGAGGTCCTTTTAAAAGGGAACATAGTAAATAGGCCCAGGTGGTGCTCTTAGTGGCTGCAGCTGAGGGCATATTCTATCAGAACCCGAAGGACAGGCCAACACAAATGCTCAAATACTCATGCAAACTATCTGTAACTTGGTAACAGGTCTTAAAAGGTTTTCAGCACTTCTGTTTTTAAAGTTGGGCAAATAGTTGTCACTGGGGCATAAAGACAAATGACCTTCATCAGGCCTTCAACTGATGCTAGATAGGGCACATTCCTGGACTGATACATTATAACTAAGGAACAAAAGGGCCTGTTGCACACTCTTCCTATTGGCAAAAAGGCCTTGAATAGTCATCATTCATTACCCACTGCCTCAATTCTAAACCCATTTTTAATTCATCTTTCTCAATCCAAAAATAAAGATACATTCATTTAGCATATGTACATATCTCATAGCTTTTAATATGCTTACAAAGTCAAATGCATTAAGAAGAGAATCACAGCAATGTTGGGTTCATGGTAATGAGCCATGGGAAAGGTTTTGGTAATGTTTCTTTGGGGCAAGAGCAGCCAATTAAAGTGTGCATGCTGCTGACTCCTGTCTAAATCACTTTGGAACAATTTGTCAACAAATAGGGCAAGAATTGCCATGGGTAGTTATTTTAAAACAGAAGAGGCAGGTAAGTTTTAATATACTAATCTAAATATTTCTCTGGACACTGTGTCTCTTTCATTTAATCTCATTTACAATCTCCCCAAGCTAGATGCAAACAACCTGCCACAAAGTAGCTCAAGAGGAAGGTTCCAGCTCATTAGAACTGCACTCATTGCTGCTGCATCCCATGGGAAAATGGAAAGTTAAGTATGGTGATTGAAGCCCAAATGAAATAAATCCAGTCTGGCAGATTTTTCTTATCTACCTCTCTTAATCATTACTTACAAAGGCTACACCAAGAATTTTTGGCCCACTACAAAAAAAAAGTGTTGAAAATGTATACATTCATATGGAGGAATATCTCCTTGATTTTTAATATCCAATGAAGCATGTTTAAGACAAATGTGGGGGCCAGGAGTATAGTCAGTATATAAGCACTAGCTTAGCATTTATGAGGCCCTGAATATAATCTCCAATTCTGAAAGGTGGTTTAACATATTGTCTCAGTTAGGTTTCTATTACCATGACAAAACATAATGACCATAAAATAAGTTGTGGAGGAAAGGGTTTATTCAACTTACACTTTTATGTTGCTGTTCATCACTGAAGGAAGTCAGGACAGGAACTCAAATAGGGCAAGATTCTGGAGGCAGGAGTATTGCTGGATTTTCCCTTGTTTTGCCAGGTCCCACTGCTTCAGCCCCAAATGAACATACAAAGACTTATATTAGTTATTAAACTGTTGGCCAAAGGCTAGGGATTCTTGTTGGCTAACTCTGTCTTAATTATTAACCCATTTCTATTAATGTAAGTATTTCCACGTGGTCTTATCTTACCAGAGAAAAGTCCAGATCTCTTACTCCTTTGGGAGCTACATGTTGTCTCTTTCTGGCAGGCTTTCTCTGCCTACCTTTCCTAGAATTCTCCTTGTCTCTTAGTCTTGCCTATCTTCCTGCATTATTGGCCAAAAGTGTTTTGCTCATCAACCCATAAGAGAAACATATATACAGAAGGACAGCCCCCATCACAGAAGCTGATACAGAAGCCATGGGGAGGTGCTGCTTGCTCACTCTGGATTGCTTATAGAACCCAGGACCATCAGCCCAAGGACAGCACCGCCCACCATGGGATGGGCCCACCCCCACTGATCACTAATTGAGAAAATGCCTTATAGCTGGAACTCATGAAGGCATTTCCTCAACTAAGGCTCCTTCATCCCTGGTGACTCTAGCTTATCTCAAGTTAACACACAAAACCAGCCAGTACACATACCCAATAAGACACTCATTTTACTATTAATATGCAATCAAGACTGCAGTCTTGTCTGATATTTCAATATAGGCTTGAGAAAGTACAAGGAAATTCGGTCAAAGTGTTTCTTTGGCCTCTCTAACATCTACAACAGAGCCCCATTCACAAACTTAGTACAAGTTAAATACTACCATAGGTTCCATGGGAGGTGTAACAGGAATGCTGTGACTGTAAAAACTATCGGTTGCCAAGGTAAGTAGTGATTCCATAGAACCCTAGGAGGACTCTCAATAACAGTTCATGAAACTCATTCTGGTCATTCTGCCTGAGTACCAGAAGGCCACCCTGTAACCATGAGGGTAGCCAGCAGTTCCAGAAAAGCAAAAGTTTGACTTCAGACATTCTTTATTTTACTTTATTCGTGTTGCTAGCATTTGTTTTGTTTTGTTTGTTTCCTTCTTTGTTTGTTTTTGTTTTGCTTTATTTTCTGGGTACCATTGACACCAGGGTCTTGATAAATTTTTGTGCTCTTTTTTCCCCTTCTTTCTGTTGTGGATCACAGTCCCAGTGGATATATCTACAAAACATCCCCATGGCTAAGACTGAGAGAACACTGAGGAAGAGGGGTCAGGTGATGGGGGAGTTTGCTGTGAGATTGTGTCTCCTAGCAACAGCAGAAGCTGTACCTATAAACTCTAAACATGACTGCCCAAACATGAGCTGAACAAGGAAGGAAGACGCCAATGAACATTGTATGAGGGGAAGCCATGAGGCCTCAAGCCTACACAAAGAACGGGCAACTAAGAAAAGCTGGGGCAGTCCCCAGGGAAGAACACACCAATTGTTTGTTCAGTGCCAAATGGCAATCCCTGAAAGCATATATATACAAGTAACATATGGACTCCTGGGTTATATTTTAGAATACATAAGCACATACAAATACATTTATGCATGCACTAACAATTCATGAAAAAATTAGGTCGTGAAATTGAAAGAGACCAGCGAGAGCTTTATGGGAGGGTTGGTAAATGGAAAGGGAAGGGAGAAAGGCTGTCATAAAATTAAAGTATCAAAATTAAACATTTTTTTTATTTTAGAAGCACTCTTACATATCCATTCCCTCACCCTCCCATCCTCCCATGTTCCCCACCAGGCCCCCAACCCACCCTCTCCCCAGGGATAGTGAGGCCCTCCACGGGGGACTGTCAAAATCTGTCACATCATTTGGGGGAGGGCCCAGACCCTCCTTCCTGTATCTGTACTGTAATAGTATCCCTTCATAGGGAATGAGCTCTGAAAATCCATTTGTGCTCTAGGGATAAACACTGCCTCCACTGTTAGAGGTCCCATAGACTGCCCTGGCCTCCTAACTGGCACCCACATTCAGAGGGCTTGATTCGATCCAATGCTGGTTCCCCAGCTTTACGACTAGGGTCTCCATGCTCTAGGTCAGGTCAACTGTTTCTGTGGTTTCTCCAGCACTGTCTTGGTTCCTTTCCTCATCCCTCTTCCCTCTCCACAACTGGATTCCAGGAGTATAGCTCAGTGCTTAGCTGTGGGTGCCTGTTTCTGCTTCAAACAGCTACTGGGTGAAGGCTCTAGGAATGGAAACCAGGGAAGTCATCAATCTCATTATAGGGGAAGGGCATCAAAGGCAGCCTCTCCATGACTGCCTAAATTCTTAGTTGGGTCATCCCTGTGGATCCCCTAACACTTCCCCTGTGCCAAACCTCTCTCTTAACCTGTACTGGCTCCCTCTATCAAGGCATCTCCTTTCTTGCCCTCCTCTATTCCTTCCCAGTCTCTCTCAGTCCTCCTATTCTCCTCCCTCCCCCCCTCCCCCTCTCCCCTTCTCACCTCCTACCTCTCCCTCCCCATGCTCCCAATTTGCTCAGGGGTTCTTTTTATACCCTCTCCAAACTCTTCCCAGATTCTCCCTATTTGCCTACCCACCAATCTTTATGTTCTCACAAGAATCAGAAACCCACTTGTTCTCACAATTAGGAGTCCCATACCAGTACTAAACTGAAAGCCACAGTCTATATTCAGGGAACCTGGGGCAGACCCGTCTAACCCCTGTGATTACTGCCTCAGTCAGGTGAGTTCATATGATCTTTGCTCAATTGTTTTAGAGGCTTTGTTCTCCTAGTGTCTCTGTCTCCCTGACTCCTTCTGCCTCCTCTTTCATGGGGTTCCCCAAGCTCTGAGGAGAGGAATTTGATGGAGATACCTCATTTACAGCTGTGTGCTCCAAGGACTCTCTCTCTTTGTAATGTCTGGCTGTGGATCTCTGTATTTGTTCCTTCCTATCCATTACAAAAGGAAGCCTCTCTGATGATGGCTGAATAAGGCACCAATCAATGAATGTATGGGATCTTTTTGTTGATTCCCATCTATTACAAGAAGTGAGTCCTCTCTTACTTAAGAGGGTTGATCCTATGGATTGAACCCCTCACTTGAGGCCCCTCTTGCCAGGAGATCCTAGTTTGTGTCAAGTTGGTAAAACAAACAAGCTATCCCTCTTCTTGCAGGAACTCTAACTCTATCATGTGTGGCCTCACTCACTCTTATCACTGTCAGAAGAAAAATACCTCTGTAAATGTCCATCATGTTCCCAAACGGATGAAAACACACTCACAAAGAGACATTGCGTTAAGTAGCAGAGGCAGTACATATGATAGTATCTACCACACAGTCGCTGCTCAAGTCATAACTGCTTCTCCTAATTTTCTTCTTTGAAACAGTGTCTATATCAGTGTATTCTCACACTCTAGTGGGTGCCAGCAAGTCAGAAACTGCTGTCTTGTGCATCGTGGCCCAGGAAAGAGAAAAACTAGAAGGGTGGTTTTCATCTAGAACTACGTGCCTTAAAGGGCCAGTGCTTCTCCCATTGCTAGTAAATAACAAAACAATTAGCAAAGTGGGTGCTCTTCCATCATATGTTACATATGAAAAGGTGTGAAGAGACAAAACAGACTTGTGAGGACAGAGTGGCTCAGCCCACAAGGGCTTCCTAATGAGCCTTCTTTCCTAATGAGACTTTAAAGTCTCTATTGGTGACTGTTCACAGAAAATCATTCTTCATGAAAGTCAGGGAGGTGTCTATAATATGATGCATTTGAATTGGGGTCTCAAGAGCTTTAGTCTTGATTTTGTTCCATCTGGGTATGTCTTCCTTCTCAAGTATTTTCAGAAAGAAACAGAAGGAAGGAAGGGAGGGAGGGAGGGAGGGAGGAAGGGAGGGAGGAAGGG